TGACAGTCAGATGATGATCGCTGATGTGGCTGACATGAATTGCTGCAGCTTCCCATCTGCCAAAGCTGGACATTGCTTGCTGAAGTGACTAGTGGATCCTGCCCTGTGGCTGCAAGTGTGACCTGGAGATCCCGATGCAGAAGTGATGATGCTTTGCATAGAGATGGGTCATTTCCAGGCTTGGGGGTGGAGAAAATGAGGGGGAAAAAAAAAAAAAAAAAAAAAGAGGAACCAGCTGTCACTGTCTTTAGTAACAGCCAGAACTCATGAGAGCAGATGAGCAGACCAAAATAGCAGCACCAAACCTCAGGCGATCTGTATCTGGGCCCTCCGGACCTCCCTGGAAACGTGGTCGGGTTGGCACATTACACAGACACGCTCCCAGTCACACTTTCCAGGGCTTTGTTGATTCAGCCACTCCTCTGGTTTCATTTGCCGGGGGAATTCATTTTTCATTGTGCTTGGAGGCACGGCCTGTGTGAGTTTGTTTTGTTTTTTTTATTAATTGCTGTATTTTCTTCTGTACAGCAGGAGAAGAGAATGAATCACCCGCAGGATCTGGGGTAGCTGTGCATCAGAACCGGGACTGCAACAAGATTTTATGCTCCCATCGCCGTGCTAAGACCTCATCTGAGAGGAAAAGCACACCCGTATATGCCAGGCTCCTGCTCTGGAAAGCAAGAATGGCTACGATCCATCCTAACGTGCTGAAGGTCAGAGTCTTAACTTCTTACCCACTTACTGTGCTCTCCTGGTGAGATACCAGCAGCTCCCTGTGCATTTAAGTAAAGAAATTCACAGAATCACGGAATCATCTAGGTTAGAAAGGACCTTGGAGATCATCCAGTCCAACCATTAACCTCACACTGACAGTTCCCAACTACACCAGATCCCTCAGCGCTGTGTCGACTCTATTCTTCAACCCCTCCAGGGATGGGGACTCCCCCCCTGCCCTGGGCAGCCCATTCCAACGCCCAACAACCCCTTCTGCAAAGAAATGCTTCCTAATACTCAGTCTAAACCTTCCCTGACACAGCTTGAGGCCATTCCCTCTTGTCCTATCACTTGTTACTTGGTTCAAGAGACTCATCCCCAGCTCTCTGCACCCTCCTGTCAGGGAGCTGTAGAAGGCCAGGAGGTCTCCCCTCAGTCTCCTTAGCTGAGAAATTTCATTCATATGCACCAATAGTTGTTTTCCATGTTTTTCTTCTCTGGAACTAGAAAAAAAGAGAGCTAGATCAGTTTAAAGATTTACCAGAGTGCATGGGAATAGCAAATACTTCAAGAAAACTATGTCAGAAATGCCTGAGCTGGGTGCAGATGTGATTGGGTGAAATTCTCCAGCCTGTGTTAGGGAAAATGTCAGATTAGAGGATTAAGAAGGGTTCCTTCAGCATTAAATTATATGTCATCTGTATGTGGTCCTGAATGGTGAGTCAGGATGACTCTCCTCTTGCGAGAGCAAATTCCCTGGTTGGGGTTCAGCTACTGCAGCTGCAGGAGACACCAGCAAGGGCAAATGCCTTTTCCCCCTTGGAAAACTTAAAATTTATTAATATAAACATCTCGTAGCTGGTCTTGCTTCTCCACATTGTTTCGCTTATAAAAAGGGATCTTTTTCAATCAAAACATTTCATTCCATATTATTATCCTTTCATTTTATTACAAATATATTTGAAACCTCAACTCCGGTGTGTTGCTTGCTGATAAGGTGACACTCCATTGAATTGGGGGTACTCTCCCCCCATTTTTGGAGCTGTGAATGAGCCACAAGCCTCTCCTCTGCCCTTCATGGGTGAGACAAGGTTGCTCAGCATACAGGAAAGTTAATAGATGGCAACTTGCAAACTGAGTTGTGGCTTGAAAATTGACTTTTAGTTGAAATTAGGGGGAATAAAAACCAGAGTCTGGGTGGGATCACCCATAAAGGGATCTCAGAAACCAAGCTGCACATGCGGATGCTGACACACAGAGACAGTGAGGAAGGGAGGAGAAGATGCCCTCTGGTGTTCTGCCAGCACCCCTCATATGTGCAATTCACCCATGAAGTTACCCCTGCACCCACTCGTGATTCTTCTATTTCTCTGCGAGCTCTGCGGCCCTGACCCTCTGTGTATTTAGGTGCTGAATTCCTGTTTTTTTCCAGTGGATAGGAGGTGCTGAATGTCTCCGTGAGCCTGTGCTGCACTCTCCACCCTGTAACCGTTGGGATGTGGCAGGGAGGTGAATCCCTGGAGATCTTAGGCAGCATCCTAACGAATCCCAAAAGGCCAGGAAAGCATCCACCTCACCTGTTATCCCAGCGTTCTCCATCTCTCTTCACCTCTTTGCCCTCCCTGGCCTAACCTGCTCCAATTAATTATTCAGGCGAGGGCCACAGCGTGGCAGCAGTTGCTATCGGGCGCCGTCATGAATAACAACAGGTGGCTATTTTTATCCCTAACTCTTGTTACCTTGCGGTCAGGAGCGGTGGGTCCCTGCCAGCTCTCTTCACACAGAGCTTGCCGTCCTTGGCAGGAGGAGCACCGCAGCGATTTATGACATCTTTATGGGCTGGGATTCATTTTGACCCCCCAACTGTAGGTGAGATCTATGTGCGATCGAGATACAGGTCTCTGTGCACTGCCTGCTGTACTCACAGGTTGCTTTGCACCTGTATTTTATTTTTTCCATCCATTTTTTATCTGCGATAAAGCATGCAGATGGTGTTCATTGTTGGATTTAATAGTCTGTCTACTGCAGAGAGAGAAAAACTGGCTTAGAGGTGAAATCGCATGTCAGATTCTGACAAACATACATAGGATAAATTATATTTCCTTTGGGGACTTAGACTGATTCCTCCAGCCAGTTTATATCCTCACGGCTGAGGTGCCCACTTAAATATCTTGCTATGACCCAGTGAGTGTGGCGGGGGCACACCAAAGGCTTTTCACCACTCCTCGTGCTGTCCCCGCTCATACCAGCTGCAACGAAAAGTGAGGAATCTCCAGAAAATCAGGGGAAGGGGTGGATTTGAGAAGCACGGGAAGGGAAATGTGTGTTGCTGAGTTTGGAGAGGCAGGGAGGCTGTTCTGGCTGTGGAGAGCAGGACAGTCTGGAAGATTAAAAAGAAAAAAAAAAAAAGGAAAACAAAGGAAAGAGAAAGGGAGAAAGGAAAGAAAATAGATCATTTTTGCTGACCCACCAAATTCAATATTCTGTCAAACTCTTACAGAGGAGGGCCCAAACACCCAAGGAGGAAAATCTGAACTTTGACACAGAACGACGTGAGAAATTCTCGCAGAAGCGCAACGAATACCCACGACTTGGGCCACCTTATTTATCCTCAACCAGCCACAGCAGTTACCAGCGACATTTCCAGCGATTTGAGAGGGATCTGGCCCGGGCACACAAACAGAAAAGGGGAACCAGGGCAGGGGCAGTTTCCAGCTGCTCTTCCGAGCAGGTTGTGGTGAGACCCGAGCAGCGACACCGGTTGTGCCTCAGCGTTTTGCGCAGCCCAGCAGGCCCCGGGGTGAATATTTACTACCAACCCTGGGAAAACTGCTTTTAGCTATAATATTATGCAGGGGACACAAAGCCAAGTTTGGGTGCCTGCTATGCCTTGCTGATCAAAATAGCTTTGTCTATTTCTTTTATTATTTTTCCTCTATTTTTATACAGTTTAGATAAAGATTTTTAAGGGATGCTAAAAATATTATTTAACGGGAAGTGGCCGGTTTCCCCGTACGGAGGGGAACTGCTGTCTCCATTTTCCTGTGATTTCTGCCCGCAGCACCCCTCAGGGGACACATCCCAAATCGATCCTTTTCACTGCAAACGCCACGGGACCTGTTTTTGTGTCTTTAGCCCCTGGACTGGCGCTGGGTCCCGTAAAAAGGGGAAAAGCGACGCTCAGCCCGTATGCTTTGGGGCAAAACCACCCAGAAACGGAGCTCCCCAAAGTGCAATAGAAAAATAAAAAGCAGCGTTGAGGGGTTTTTGTTTGGTTTTGCCTTTTTTTTAATTAATAAATTGGTGTTTTCAGCCGCTCGGTGACTCCCCGGGGCGGGACCCCCCGACCGGCCGCCGCAGCCCACGCGAGATCCGGGGAAGGCGGGACCCTCCCGCCCTCTCCGCGCGCTGATTGGCTGGCTATGTCACGCATCCCTCCCGCGAACTCTATCGCTGCTTCTCCATTGGCTGCCGCGGGGCGGTGCTGACCAATGAGAGGCGCCGCGGGGCGGGAGAGAGGCGGAACTCCCGCTCGGTGGCGGGAAAGACTCGGGTTTTGGCGGGTTTGCCTCTGG